CCTGGACGACTGTGAAGATTGCTAAGTCGAGGCGCAAGCCGAGACTTAGCAACACAGAGTCCAGGAATGTGGCTTTTCCTACGAGGTAAACATACTATTTTTCCGCAAATCGTTTAAAATTCGACAGATATTGATTAATTTAAAAAAAAACGCGATAATTTTATTCCCAAATAAATGGTGCTTTGAAATTCCTAATAAAATTACCTGGGTTACTATGGAAACGTATTGAGGTTGAATTGTCAAACTATCTATCATTTATGTAGAACACTAACAACTGTACGGAAATATCATTTCCTTACAGTAAGGAAATGACATTTTCTTACAGTAAGGAAGTCCTGACTTTTTCTTCAAGAAATTTTGACAGGAATGTCAAAATTTCCTGGCGATTTGCGGAAAAATATAATAATGGAACGTGGAAACCCGAATGATCCAAAAGTTTGAGAAATTACTATTCATCAGTACCATGAAGGGATAACAATGCTGTAAATTTCCAATGAATTGACTGTAGCAACAACTACGGTGTTTAATATAATTAATAAATATGGTGAAACTGTCAGTGTTAATGTTTGCAGCAAAAGCTCAGGCCCTCCAAAAGCTTCCTCCAAAAAGGAGTGTAAAGCACTTAATTCGAATATGTAAGTCGGGAAAAAGAAATACACTACGAGAAATAACCGCTAGAAGGGAATCTTGTTGCAAATATATCCATAAAAAGGTCTTAGTTTTTATAAGGTATGTTTGATAGGTTCTTCTTTGCGATATAAATTATCTATTTTTTTTATTTATTCGTGTACGCCAAAGAAAAACCATTGCTGACAAAGATTCAAAAAAGAAATCGTTACATTTGGGCTAAATCAAAACTTTCGTGGACCAAACATAACTGGGACAAAGTTATATCCATCCGGAGATTTTATCTTTTATCAGGACGGAGCCATCTTCCAAATTTATGCCATCCTTCTAGCAGCCCGAATCTTAATCCGATAGAGACACTTTGACACAAAATGAAACAACGCCTAAGAAATAACCCTCAGCGTACTTTGCCACAACTACGTGCTAAATTACTACAAGAAATATGGGATAGTTTCACCTCTGCATTCTGTGGAGGCCTAGTTGGTACAATCTCTAATAGAGTTTAGGCTGTTATTCAAGTGAAGTGCGACGTTACGCCTTATTAATATTTATTTTAATATGTTAAAATCCTCTTTCCAATCCTCTTGTTCCAATATTTAGTTGTCAGCATTTTTTGGCTATCAAACAATTACTTAAACAGTAATCATCATAAAATTAATACATAATTAAATTGCAAAAATAATTTCATATATCATAAAAAATGTTGTTAATTTTATATTTACAATTAAAAAAATTAAAATAAAAGAATTTCCGTAAATTGGTATCTTATTTGCAAAATAACTGCTTTTTCCAACATATAGTTGTTAGAGCTCGTATCTCCGTTTATTGCGCACGAAATTATTGAAAATGCGGTAACAAGTCTAGGGCTCGGAAGTTTCGTTTCTTAAAGCAGACATTCCGGTGGAAGAATTCTCACACATTCTTATAGACGTTAAGTTTATATATTTCTCTCTTTCGAAACTTTCTAGCTTCAAACCTCCCTTGTGATCTCTTTCAAATACAATGAAAACCGTATCTTACTTTCTACTGACAAAATGGATTGTTTTATCTGTAAAAAATCAGGCCATATTGGTTTAAATTGCACAAACCCACCTGGCAGTACTTCTTCCAGCTAAGCAATTACTTCAATCTCCTTTAAGAGTAGAATCCAAATCTACCGAAAAATACCAGAAAACAACACTACCTTCCACACCAACAGAGGTATGTCCTCTGTCAATAGGATATAAGTCAATATGTCACAGATACACAAACACGCTATAAACGCCCTAACAGAGAATTTTCTTCTAGCGTCATAACTGGTTTAACTGAAGAAGTTACTCGTAGTGAACAAATTAAAATCCATGCAGTGTTTGCCAAAACATAAACCAAGAAGAAACGTAAACGGTCAAATTGTGACTCAACCTTATCTGAAAAGATAAAAACATCTGTACATGAAATTTATGAAAAAACTCCGCAGTAGTGGAAATCTTCCACCGTAACCTCCATCTAAACACTGCATTAGAATGTCTTGTAATAACAGCATGGTGTCCAAAATAAGTAAATGAACAATAATACAGAGTTAAATGCAACAACAAAGAACAATGTAAAAAAATCACTCATTTAAAATTCAGGTGCACCAGGAATTAAATTGAAATGATTTTCAAAGAAAAAATTGTTTTGTATGTGGGCGAAAGAAATGTCAAGTCGAAACTTAAATTTTTTGGAAAATATTGTATTTGTACAATACGAATAGACATTTTATCGCAATAGGTTCATTAACAGATATAATTATCATTATTACTCCGATGAAAATCTTTACTTATTTCGAGTTACGTGCCAGAACAAGAGAAGGATGGAGAGAAATCGTAAAAAAAACTGTGAAGGCCTGATGATGTCACCACATCCCAAAAGGGATTAGGACTGAGGAGGAGGAGGCCAGAACAAGAACATTTTAAGAGACATTGTTGGATCATATGTTAGTGGAACTTATTTTTCCAAACGGTACAGGCAGTGAAAATCATAGGTTTTTAACAGACGAGTTGTCTGGATTGTTAGAGGATGTTCTCTTGGGAATTGTACGAAACATGTGATTTCAACATGACGGATGATCACCGCATCGTACAATAAATGTTGGCGTGTTCTAAATATTAACTACAGCGACAGTTGGATTGGATATGGTGGTATAGACATTTTTTTGGGTACGTCAAGAATATAATATGTGAGGACGATCTCATTACACAGGATAATATAAAAATTCGTACACAAAATGTCTTTGGCAGTGTTGGACCTGAAATGCTATAGGTAGGGCGTATGGTACTCCTTTATCGCCCGTACATTTCAACATTTATTAACATACCTAGTTAATAAAGCATTTATGAATAAAGCTTATCGATTGGGAAAATATTATATGGTAATATAATGGGTTATTAAATTCAAATAATTTTTAATACAAGTAGGTAAAGAAATAATAATAAGACTTACTCACAATCAATTTAATTTAACAATCTGACGACCGGTTTCGCTTTCTATAATTTGCAAAGCATCTTCAGGTCGAGATACAAAGTTAAACTTATGCTGCAATAAAATAAACCCAATTAGGGTGGTGTCTCATAAAGATAAAATAAACAAATAAATAAATTAGTTCATACAAATTATAGTAATTATGCCAATATTACATGTCTGTGGTTTTCAAAATGAATAATTTGAATATATAAAAGGTAGTAACAGACAAGGTAAGGCCCACAATTGGTATAAAGTAGCAATCTTTTGTTGTAATAAATTAATAAATGAGCAAATAAATAAAACAAAACAAAACAAACATTACTTACATGCCGGTACTCTATTAATTGATGGATGGTAGGTCATGGTTGCAAAAATTGTCACCTACCACCTACCATTGATGGATCACCTACCATCCATCAATTAATAGAGTACCGGCATGTAAGTAATGTTTGTTTTGTTTTGTTTTATTTATTTGCTCATTTATTAATTTATTACAACAAAAGATTGCTACTTTATACCAATTGTGGGCCTTACCTTGTCTGTTACTACCTTTTATATATTCAAATTATTCATTTTGAAAACCACAGACATGTAATATTGGCATAATTACTATAATTTGTATGAACTAATTTATTTATTTGTTTATTTTATCTTTATGAGACACCACCCTAATTGGGTTTATTTTATTGCAGCATAAGTTTAACTTTGTATCTCGACCTGAAGATGCTTTGCAAATTATAGAAAGCGAAACCGGTCGTCAGATTGTTAAATTAAATTGATTGTGAGTAAGTCTTATTATTATTTCTTTACCTACTTGATATGGACTCACACAAGCAACACATTCATAATTTTTAATACCTTAGTTTTTTTAATTTTGAGACTTTGATTTATACATACAATATATAAAATATATAGTTCTTGTCTAAATATCTACAAAACTAAATATGCTAGGTATATAAAACCTAATACCAAATGAAAGGTTGTAATATTTTCTATAAAATACGATACTAATATACAGGGTGTTCTTAAAAAATGGAAAATTTTCCATTTGAAACTAGTGGTCACGCTGTATATTGTGTGGCTCGATTTCAAAAATATTAAGATATTTAAAAATATCACTACACTAGAAAATCTTCGACATTTCACTTTCATTTTCATTACCTTGGAAACCTAATTGACGGCCCTTTAAATGTTACCGTTTTACTCAATAAAAGTGTAAATATTTCAAAAATTAATAACTTAAGGCCTATAACATTTTATACAAACTCTTCATATTTTAAAAATATTCAAAAATGCTTTAATATACAGGGTGTTTCATTAAAAAACATAACTTTGTTCATTCCGTTGTTCTGACTGACCCTATATAATCGAAATTAATTTTGTTATACTTATTGAAACATTTTTTTTACATATGTACTCCATAGTTTCTTCTTTTTCTTCTGGTTCCTATTCTTTCAAATGTTGGAAATCATATTGGCAATCATAACCTTGCTCGCTGCGGCTCGAAACAGCTCCGTTGAGGTTTTCTTAAACCATGTTCTTAAATTCCGCAGCCATGATATTCTCCTTCTACCGGGTCCTCGCTTAGCTTTGACTTTACCTTGCAATATAGACTGTAGCAGGGAGTAACGGAGTAATCTCTGGTTCCTTCTTAATTTTTCTTAGAACTTCCTTGTTCGTACTCCATAGTTTAGCCTTAATCAAAGAAAGCCAGAGGTTTGGCGCACTCTGTATAACAGAAGTCCTGAGCACTTGTATAATAGTTAAGTAGAAGATGTAGTACAATAAGCCAATTTATCAATATTAATTGAAAACTCATACATTTACAAATTTAATTTCTCTTTTTGTTTCATTTCTATTTCTAATTTAATTACTATTTTGCTCCTTCACAGGACATCAACACCAAACCCTACGTGTCGTATCAATGCCTATCGGACACGGTGCGAATGCCGGAGGACAGAGTTTCCACCCTAATCCTGGCGTTCCGGTAGGAAGCACCGGAGATCGTCGCCACATTCCCAGCTTGGTTGATAGACGTCACATCTCTCCACCTCTGCATATCAACATCTGCGAAAACGGTAATGGCATGATGAATATGAACACACCCCCAACTGAAGGTCTACCGATGCACCCAAGAGCCATGATGGACTTTTCTCACGGAAGAAGGAGACACGGGATAGGTATATATGTTTTTAATTTTTAATTGCTTCATAAAGATGGCCTTTTAATACTTGTCTTCTTCAGGTATACGAGAAAATATGCCAAAACTCCTCTAAATACCATGTTTATACCTAGCCCCCACAGGGGCGATGAAACACGTAGGTATTGAAATCAACTTTAAAAAAGTCAAACCTGCTGAAATGACATTTTGGTAGAAGGTTGTGATAATTGTGCATGAATTTGGTAGAGTGTCTAGAAGTTTTAGTGACTTAAATTTACATAGGAGAATATAATTCGAATAACTGATATATTATAAAGGAATGTAATCGTCAAACTCATGAACCATGGACTATGTTTTTCTTCCGGTGTTTTTCTAGCTTTTAGATTTTTATGTTTCCTTACTTATGCTTTTTCAAAGTGAAGTTTAAATTTTAAAATATCTGAATTGTTTGCATATAGATACTTTCTTCTAGAATGTTTTCTTCTTATTGCTTCGTTTTTTTCCTCTACAAATTGTTCCTTGTCGTTATTTTCTTCCTCCTTTGAACAGGTGCACTACTATGTTTTATACAATAATATTGGTAATGTAAGCAACAGTGAAATCTCACGAATTTTGCTAAAAAGTTTAGAGTTGATCTTCAACTATATTTTATGTAGCTATATTTACTGGATACTACATTAAATATATGTATTGTTCTTGGTATCAAGAGCATACTGCTAAATAAATAAGCTGTTAATTAGTGATATTTTTGTTGTCCTGATATTCTATATAGTATATATAGTACAACAGGACCATATAGTATGGGTGCGGCAGGTAAACGGCCAATTAGAAGTATATCGAGAACTAAAGTTAACTGGATTACGAAAATTGGATAGACGACGCGACGTTTTGAAGAGTTAACTGTATAATGAAAATATCATCATCTATACCAGAAGTTGCGTATAACTTCGTTTCTTTTCAATGGGACACCCTGTATATTTTTAATTTTAGAATCACGTTATCACGTTATTCTGAACCTTTTTTGATAATACTTCCCTATACCTATTGTGAACGTTTTTGAGTTATACTGATTTTTACATGAAAATTACACTTTTCTACCATGTATATAAAGTTCAATATCCTCTAGTGTAATTTGAATAAAGGTTTAATTTCCTTAGGAACGTGTTAAACACATACAGCTTTATCATTTACATTGTAAAGTTGCCTTTTTCATTATACATGTTGCTGTTAAACTTGGCATAAAACCGGCATCCTAAGTTTTCGCCTAATTCCTTTTTTTAATGGGACTCCCTGTATATGATTAATTTTTTTAGAAGACTACGTTTCCCATTATCGAGCGTATTAATATTCCCTATACCTATCTCTTGCAGCTTTCAAATAAATTAACCTTATTCATTTTTGTCAAAAAAAATTATTTATCAAGTAGACCATGGAATATTAATATTCCGACAAAAAATGTCAGATATTGTTAATGTTTAATAGTAACTTTGTTGTATGCCGTTGGGTGAAAGTTATAATAATAATTTGCCTAATTTTGTTGATAAAATAATAATGGCTCATTTAAGATATACATATGATGATTTTTTAAATTACACTTATTACAAATTACAATTTACGGCGGGTGTACGTATTACAAATTACAATAGTATCCAAAACTTGCCGGTTTTTTGCTGAGAGATATCCTGAAAAGCCTCGACCAAATCATAAAACTGTATAACGTTTATTGAACTACTGTTCTCAGTTTGGTCAGTTTATAAGTAAAAAGAAAAAGTCCAAAACCCACGTCGATAATGAAGACTTACAAATAGATATCGTGGGATATTTTACAGCTAATCAAAATTCATCCTTACGGGAATGTGAGCAATTGTTACAAGTATCGAAAAGAACAATTCACATATTAAAAAAAATCATTGAACCTCTTATTCGTATACACTTTTTCAACATGTATATCCTGGAAATTATGTAAGACGTGTAGAATTTTATGAATGGGTTTTAATAAAATGCCAAGATCGAGATGTTACAAAAAAAAATATTTAATGTGATGAATCGAAGTTTACAAAAAACGGTATTTTTAACCGCCATAACAGTCACTTCTGGAGTGACGACATTCCTCAACTCATATGGGATGGTAAATTTTAAGGATCCTTTTTGTTTAATGTTTTTTGTGCTGTGAAAAATAATAAGATATTCGCTCTAATTATTTATGACGAAAATTTGAACGGATAGCGTTATTGTAACATTTTACGGCACATAATTGTACCAGCACTGCACGGTTTACATAATAATGAGGCTAACGAGGCTTGGTTTCATCAAGATGGAGCAACGGCTCACAATATTAGAAAAGTCGGCACATTGCTTGATGTTAGCGATAGATGGATAGCTAATAAAGGTCCGTTTCTCTGGCTACCAAGATCCCCACAATTGTCACCGTTCGACTACTATATTTGGAGATATTTTAAAAATAAGGTGTTCTCCGAACCTGTCACTACTAAGGAAGATATAAAGTTCTTCAAATAGATGGATAATTAATATCACTAGATACTATTTTTTTCATTTTTATTTAGTGTTACCATTCCTCAGTACTTTAAATAAGTTGAAAGTAAAATGTGTAAGTCCTATAAAGAAAACCCATTTTTTTTTCATCTTTTTAATTTTTGTTAATTTTTAATTTTAATAACGGTGTAATCCATCAAAGTTATGATCTATTCATTGAATATTCCGTATAGTCTTTTCGTTCCTTGATGGCTAATTAGATTTACTAACTCTTAAACAAAATCTAAATCGAAATATTTTACTGTATTGCATTTCTAAAAACAGCGATCATGCAGTCATTTTGCCAAATTGTTTGTCTTATGTTTTTTCGTCTAAAGCAACTTAGACATTACTCCCAGTTTGTCTGGAATCATTTAGGGCCCAAATAACTTCTGTTGCTCTATTTTTTATACTAGGGGCTTTGTAGGGTAAGCTATAGGGGATATTTTATTATAACATAACACATAAATAAGTATTATGATTGTTAGTTTCCCAAAGAGTCATACTTTCAGAGTGAACGAAAAAAGCTGCAGATGCTGCAGATTCCCTTTTGTTTAATAATTGTAAGCAGAACATTGTTCATAAATGGTATAAATATAATGAATAGCCGATATATTAATTCGTAACATTGTCCAATGTAGTGACTAGACACTTTGCCGGTAGTAAATATTATTCTTTCCAAAGATACCGGAACCATCTCTTAACCTAGAGGAATATTTTCTGAACCCTGTTATTAACGGCAAACCCTAATTGTGATTTTCAGATATGCGGATGAGCCCTGTTCATTTCCAGCAGCATTCTCCGCCATATTATCGGCAGTCCAGTGATGAGTACATCAAAAGTGAAAGTCCATCTTGCAAACGCAGACGTTTGTCCCGCTCCGGTCATCATATCGACTTAAATGTACAGCCTCCTTCACCACCTCGCAGGTCTCCCCGGCAACATCCTCCATCCACTTCACATCCTCCAATGCAGGTAAGGAAAATACTGGAAACGCACCTAAAGATCTTGTAAAACAAAGGTATTGAATATGTGATTAATTGCTTTTTTGGTAGGTCCCAGTGACAATTCCAATGAACCACGAAGCAGTTTGGAGCTACACCACAACCCCACACGTGTCTCTATGCACAGTTCCACCGAGCGCACCGCCTCACATGCACAACTGTCATTTACATAATGTATACGCCGCTGTACCGCCGCTAGTACCACAACAATTCCCACCCGGCTGTCTCCCCCATCAGACTTTCGCCACATTCGGACCTCCAGCACCCAGCGCAGTTCCTGTGCCGCCTCAGCATTACTCTCATCAACGTATTCCTCCACAGGTACGTTTAAAGATTTGTAGTAAAGTATATCTGGTTTTGGTTTATTTTATATTGTCAAATCTTCAAAGAAGAGGCATCTAATGCTACCTTCTTAATTCGCGCTTAAACTTATTCCTATAAGTATTTATCCTTTTTACAGAGACCTGACACATTTGAACTAGATCTGCTCAATGAACATCACCATCATGCTCACACTCATTCCGCCATTCATGGGGCATCTTCCCTTCATGTACCGCCCATTCAGATGTCTTCGCCGGCTTCTCTGTTTCTGTCGACAGAGACTCGAGGTGCTTCTCCGTTGGATATTCTACACGCTAGTCGCACACGTCAGCACAGAAATGCCCGTTTGCTGTCTCAAAGGACCCGTTGGCATCACAGTCCTCCGCTCATTGCCGCTCCCGCTGGATTTTTACTACATTTCTTGTGAGTATTGCAATATTGTTTAACTATAAAAATGTGATGAGTAACTGGCTACAGTTATGGATATAAAAAATAATACATACTTTTAAACTTACAAAATTCTCTTAGTGGAAAAGATCATAATTTGTTAGATTTTGTAGTTCATACTACACTGATCGGCAAAAAAAAGAGGCCACCCTATAAATTTTCGAAAATAAAAATTCATTGGAAGTTTTATGCATTGTTTCATATTGTATACCCAAAATCGTTGGGTATACAATAAAAACATAAGTATATAAAACAAAAAATGGCCATTCCTGCTTGATTCTTTAGCATAATTTATTTAATTAGATGTCTACAAAAGAAAACAAAATGTGATATTTTACTGACTGCATATATAAATTAAATAGAAATAATATAATTATAAATTTTGCTTAAATTTTGAATTTCTGACCTTTTGTTTAAATTATTATCACTTTTGCTAATACAAACCATTTTCAAAAAAGTTCTTTTAAATTTATTACTTTCATTACATAAAATTTTAATATTATCAAAATCCATAATATGGTCTTTGTCTATTACATGCTCTGCCAAAGCACAAGATGGTTTCTTAATTCTACAATCACTCTTGTGAGAAATAATGCGATTTGAGAGATTTCTTCCACTCTCACCCCAGCTTCACACTGAGTACAAAGAATGCTGTATACTACATTTGGTGGATCTAATTTGTCTATAGGATATTTAGTTTTGGAATATAAAGATGAAATAGTTTTGATGTTCTTTGTTGCTATTTTTATATTGTCAATAACCTTTAATGTTTGTATTAATTTAATTAATTAATAATTAAGTTCTTTCATTAATAATTTCCAATTACCACAAAATTATGTTTTAGTTAGTTTTGATGTAACATCTCTTTTTACCAATTTACCTTTAAATTTAATCATAAGTAGTGTTGAAAAACATTGGAATGATTTTTCGCAACATACTAATATTGACTTATTACATTTTAAAACACTCATCAACTTTGTTTTTTATTCTAATATTTTTATATTTAATGGTGTTTTTTATAAACAAATTTTTGGTAGCCCTATGGGATCTAGTCTTTCACCCATTCTAAGCAGTTATGTCATGGATGATGTTATTAGTGATTGTATCAATAATTGCACTTTTTTCATTCCATTTATCAAAAGATATGTAGATGATCTAGTTTTGGCACTTCCTAAACACAAAATTCTTGAAACAGTCAACATTTTCAACAATCATAATCAACATATACAATTTACAGTTGAGGAAGAGGTAGATAATTCTCTACCATTCCTTGACATGAGAATTGTAAGAAATACAGACAATATGTTGAAAACTAGATGGTTCAGAAAACCCATATGTAGTAATACATTTATAAGCTATTACTCTAATCATCCAAATAAGATGAAAATGAACCTTATAACAGGATTAAAGGAACGTGTTTTAAAACTTTCTCATCCAGACTATCTACAAGAAGATCTTCATTTGTTAAAAAATATTTTAATTGAAAACTCTTATCCTCCAGATATGCTACATAGGATGCTTTTTTCTAATTTATTAAATATAAATAACTTAACACCATTTTTTGCTAAATCTCAAAACACTGTATCCAACAATCAAAACATATATTATCATTCACTACCTTTTATACCATCATTAACTCCTAAATTAATACAAACATTAAAGGTTATTGACAATATAAAAATAGCAACAAAGAACATCAAAACTATTTCATCTTTATATTCCAAAACTAAATATCCTATAGACAAATTAGATCCACCAAATGTAGTATACAGCATTGTTTGTACTCAGTGTGAAGCTGAGTATATTGGTGAGACTGGAAGAAATCTCTCAAATCGCATTATTTCTCACAAGAGTGATTGTAGAATTAAGAAACCATCTTGTGCTTTGGCAGAGCATGTAATAGACAAAGACCATATTATGGATTTTGATAATATTAAAATTTTATGTAATGAAAGTAATAAATTTAAAAGAACTTTTTTGGAAATGGTTTGTATTAGCAAAAGTGATAATAATTTAAACAAAAGGTCAGAAATTCAAAATTTAAGCAAAATTTATAATTATATTATTTCTATTTAATTTATATATGCAGTCAGTAAAATATCACATTTTGAATTTTCCATGTATTTGTTACATTTTTTCGGGCATCTATCAATTGTGAATAAATCTTCTTCTTTTTTGTTACTAAACAAAGAAGAATTTTTTAAACAAAATTTTATTTTTGACAATATGTCAAAAATACATGATGAACAGGTTAACATGATGAACAAATTAGAAGCCTTCGAGATGTGGTTATATCCTAGAATGCTCAGAATATCATGGGTTCAACACATTTCAAACAGAGAAGTCTTGAACAGAGTAGGTCAAGGTGAAGGTGACTTAATAAAGATGATGAAAAAGAGAAAACTCGAATATCTGGGGCATATAATGAGAGGAAACAGATACAGGATAATGCAGTTAAAACTCAATAGAAAGATCGACGGAAGAAGTGGAATTGGTAGGAAGAAATACTCATGGCTCCGAAACATTCGTCAATGGACTGGCTTATCAGCAGATGAATTATTACATGCCGCGCAAGATTGAGAACAATATCGGCAAATCGTCATGGAAACTACCCACGCCTAAAACTTGGGCACGGTACTCAAAGAAGAAGAAGCTAATTTTATGTAATAAATATTTTTTAAAGACTTTTTGTATCAATAACGATATATTATTAGATATTTTTAGCACGTCACAGCATATTTATTAATTTGATAATGAAATATTTAAAAAATGAACCTTAATCACCTCAAAACACAGTCCTCTGGTATCTCACTGTCCCAGAATTACAAATCTTGTTATAAGTATTTATTTTTTGTCGTTAATAACTGAATAAAAAATATCCAAATACTTAAAAAAGTTGGTAAGTATATTTAAACATCACCATTATATTTTTAAAATAAAATCTAACCTATCTAAACTATTCATCTGTTAAAATTTGAAACCCTAGCTGTAGCCACAGCTGTTTCTTTAATCTAATATGTTTAAATAATTTTATTTTACTAAGTATACATGTAAAAATATCAGTCTCCTGGCCAAGAGTCCCCTGTCGTTTCATAGCACAGGGTGTGGGGCCTTGTTTTTACGTAAATTTTTAATAAAATAAAATTATTTAAATATGTCAGATTAAAGAAACAGCTATGGCTACTAGATAATCAATTATTTTAAACAAATTTTTGTTATTAAAACTCTTAAAATAGTCAAAAAAGCTTATCGGGGGACTGTTTTCACTAAAGGCTGAAACGCGTGGTTCATTAGCAAACGCAGTAATAGCACTAAACAACATAGCAGTTGCCCACTTAGCTCTCCAACAGATTTCTGATGTCAATTTTGACCAAATATTGCAAAAGTTACCAGATCCAGATTTATATTTAAAAGGAAGAAGATTATTTTATTATTTTCCTAGATCTGTCGGTAAAATATACAAATAATGAAAACTAAAGCACTATTTTTCTTTTTAGTACAATGTTTTCAAACTCGCCAATGTCTCCATTCAGCCAAAGCAGCTCAGACACTACTGAAACTGAAAATTACGAAGCCCTTCTCAACCTCGCCGAGCAGCTGGGCGAAGTTATCCCTAGAGGTCTCAGCAAGCTTGAGATTGAGCAACTCATCAGCTACAAATACGATGCCGAGACACACGAAGGCGACCAGACGTCCTGCGTAGTCTGCATGTGCGACTTCGAAGCTCGGCAAGTGCTCAGGGTTTTGCCATGCTCACACGAATTCCACGCCAAATGTATTGATAAGTGGTTAAGGGTAAGTGAAACAAATGATTTTATCAATAAGTTATATGAACAATTCTTTCTGTTAAGCTTTGATCTTATCCATCACTTAAAAACTAAATAGTTTTGAGTGTTTTCACCGGTGTTTTGGTATGTTTTTGAAACAATTCAACGGAATTTTCCATTAATTTCGACTTACGTAGAAAGCAATAGGTATCAAGTATTATGTCAATTTTTTACAATAAATTAGCGACACAATAAACAGCATCATTTGGTTAAGTTTGCGATTTTCCATCAGAATAACGTACCTACCTATGCCAAATCTCGAACTGTTTCTTAAATTATTCCCTATTTCGTCTTATTTCACCGATTTGGTCCTTAGCCATTACAGTATATTTCCAAACCTGATGAGATGTTTCGTCGTTAAGAAATTTTCGATAATTTAAAGTACCTACAGTAAATATTGAATTCGAACTAAAATGAAGACATTGCAATAAGTGTTTTTTACAAAATACTTCATCCACAAAATCATCATGTAGTGTAAAAATATATTGAAGAAGTTCATTCAAATTTAATTGAATTGAATAAAAATTGAAAAACTCTTTCGTGAGCCTTAAGCAGGTGTTTATAAGAATCCAAAGGACATTTTGCCGTTTCATAACGATGTATGAAACCAAGCTCAAAAATGTTTTTGCCAATAAAGAAAGTATGAACCGTTTTCTAAGCAGAAATATTTTTAAAAGATTTTTTGTTATTCATTACATCAACTTCACTCACTACTCCAGCATACAAAAATTAACAAAACATCGTTTACTTCTTGTTGTCATCGTAATTTACCTTGTAGAACGTCACCGCAATAACTTATTCTAAAGCTGTGATTTTCATGCCGGTTAATACCTAATATTGTTTTTTAAAGAACATGTAAATAGATTCACATACCTAGAGATGGATCTGGTCGCAAGCAATAAAGAAGAACCGGAAATAAATAGAACGCTTGTGGTGGCAAATAAAGCCTATTTCGCAGTGGGCCACATATGCAAATCGCGAGACGTACAACGGAAAACAATAATCAGGCCCATAGTAAGTTATAGCTGTGAAACATGGGTGGTGACATAGAAATCTGCCAATGCATTAGATGTGTTTGAAAGAAAAATATTACGTAGGATACTGGGTCCAATAAGTGAAAACAACAACTGGCAAATTACGTATAATAGAGAAATATACGAGCAATATAGCGAACCAACTCTAGCGCAATACACTAAACTGCAGAGGTTAGTGTATTGCGCTAGATTACGGTGGGCAGGGCACGTGCTCCGCATGCATAAGAATAGAATCTCCAGAAAATTACTAAATGCAAGAAAGCAGGGAAAAAGACCTGTTGGAAGACCTAAAAAGAGATGGGAAGACGAAGTCGATGAGGATGCTAGGAACTGCCTGGGAACGCGTTCATGGAAAAGAACAGCGGTAAATCGAAATGATTGGAGAAGCTTGTTGAAGGAGGCCAAGGCCCGATTTGCGCTGTAGTGCCATTGGATGGATGGATTGTTTTTTCAGATGTCCCAATGTTTGATAATTGTAGCACACCAACATTCATTTAGGAACTGTTTAACTCGTCAACTAATTGCTATAGTATTGTCAGGGGAGAATTACTGCTCTAAATAGTTTCGCCGCTCAATTATCCAATCAAGTATGTTTGATTTGACTAATTTCAGGGTTTGTGCAAGTTCTGGATTTCCAACTCCGCCTTCTAATGCGTCGACAGATATACTATTTAAAACGTCTTCGGTAATAATTAAAAAACTTGTCTTACCAACCAACGAGATTTATGCTGAACTTTTGTAAGACTCAACAGTGTCGTTATAGGTGGGTTTTGAACTGTGTTTTATACACCAATCATAACCTCATAACTTCAACTTCGTAGCCATTTCTATCTGCGTCCAAACATTGGCAACCGTTGATGCATTGAAGCATTGGATAGATTTTAGAACCATACAGCTCATAGAAACAGAATTATCCCTCGTAACAGCTTTTTTCTTAGTAAAATTGGTGAAAGGGACCCTCTCAAGAGTCAAGTGTAAAGTTAGAGTGCAGAACGGAGTTTTCAGAACGATCCAGTTCAGATAGGACGTAGACAAGGATACAGCCTATCATGCCTTCTATTTAACATTGCACTGGAGAAAGCGATAAGAGAATCTGGAATAACAACCAGAGGAACTATAAAGTATCGCACCGTACAATTACTAGCGTCCGCCGATGACATCGACATTATTGCAAGAAGAAAATCGGACGTGGTCGAATCATTCAAGGCGTTTGAAGCAGCAACAAAAAGAATGGGACTAGAGGTTAACACTAGTAAGACGAAGTATATGAAAGTATCAAATTATATACAATCATCACAACCCGAAGATCTAACGTTAGAATCTGTTGAACATATACTTTCGAAGGAGTAAGAGAATTTATATACTTAGGCTCACAAATAATCAGAATAATGCAGTAAGTGCAGAAATTAACAGACGGATATATCTGGCAAATAGAGCCTATTAGGGATTACAATTTTTTTTAACAACAAGCGTAGTTAGAAATAGAACGAAACTAGTGATATACAGAACTCTTACCCATACCCACCTACGGGTCGGAAATATGGACGATGACAAAGAGCGATGAAGAACGTTTAAGATGCTTTGAACGTAAAATCCTCCGGCATATCTATGGAGGAGTACAGGAGGGCGGATTATGGCGTAGACGCTATAATTTCGAACTTTACCGCCTGTATGACAAACCTGATATTATTAGGTCCATCAAAATAAACCGGCTGCGGTGGTTAGGTCACATAGAGAGAATGAATGAGATGGAGTCGCCAAAACATATTTATAACCAAAGAATAGATGGAGTGAGAAGGAGAGGCAGACCCAGAGCACGATTTAAGGATCAGGTGGAGGAAGACTTAGAATGTTGTGAGTACGAAACTAGAAAACCAAGGCGAAGAATATGAGAAAATGGAGACTTATCCTTGAGCAGGCCAAGACCCACGATGGGTTGTGGAGACAATGATGATGATGAACAGCTTTTCTTGACAGAATTAATAGATATTTGACCTTACAAAAAACTTAAATCGTAGGTGGAAGTTGTGTATTTGAAAACAATCAGTGGCAGATATTACGGCAGTTTGCTGCATCTTTATTTGTGAAACTGTTGCACATTATAGATGAAAACAAGGATCAATGGTCCCACTTGGTAAGGAATAAAGAACTTTTAAATCAATGGCAATGGCCAACTGATTAAAAAACTATCTTATAAAATCTGAAGATAATTTTCAACTATACCATTCTCCTCGTGATCGATCAATTAATGATATGTGTGTATGATTTAGAGAATTTTTGGATGGGCAAACCTCTCCTACTGTTAGTCATTTTAGATTTGTAATATCTTCTTCCTTTTTAAGTAGGTATGACTAGCCTGCTTTTCAATGTGCCTCCAGTAAGTTGTTATTCCATCGTTTTTGTGCTCTTCCCACTGATCGTATCATATTGAGGAACCGTCTCTTACCGTCTTTATGACTCTTATTTGTTATCAATAGGCTTATATGATAGTTTCGTTCTACTCTTCTATTTTTTACCCAGTCCTTGATGTTCTCCACCTTGCATCTCTGTCGTATATCTGTACTTCTAGCTCTATCTCATAGTGTCTTAAAATCGATTTTTCTAAGGAATTTCATATTTGCTGTTTCTAGCATTCTTTATGTCAGGTCGTGTTTTTACCGCGTATGTCATTATTGGTCCGATGCCTACAAATTTTAAGTCCATCACTTGTTCTATTATATGACCCTCTCGCTCTATTGTACATCTTAGTAGATTTGCTGTTATAACCATGCATTTTGTCTTTTTTTTTTTGGGAGAAATTAACATGTTAAATTTTCTGGCGGTTATATTAAATTCGTGTAGCATATGTTGTAACTCATCTTCACTTTGGGAGATTAGGATTGTGTTGTATAAACAGCTGATTATTTTCGGTTGTTTTTCTCCCTTTTGGTATCCTTTTTTAGTTCTTACTTTTTTTATTATTTGATACATGATCAGCTTGAACAATAGAGGACTCAGTAAATTCCCTATCTAACCCCATTGCCACTTTCAATTGGGTCAGTTAGTTCTTCTTCTACTTGCACTTTTATTGTGTTGTTCTGGTAGATATTTTAGATCGATTTGATTATTCCTGAAGGTATCTCTTGCGTACAGTAAGTGGATAACGTCCTTTAATTTGACCTTGTCAAATGCCTTATTAAGGTTCACGAAACATAAATATGCCTGTTGTATTCTAACGATTTCTCTTGCAGTTGCTTCATGTCGCACTAAAACTCAGGGTGAGTTTTTAGTGTGACATGAATGCGATTCAAGAGAACATGACTAAAGTCAAAATCATGTTTAAAGACCGGTTGCCATTTAATTCTATAAAATATTTCTATAAAATATTATAGACATATTTTATAACTTTAGGACATACTTTAGAAAACTCTTCTATTGTATTTGGGCCTTTTACGGGGAACAAAATCAATTAAAGAACTTAGTTGGAATTTTTAACTCTCTCAATATCAATTAAACTGTAACTTGGTAACGTTATACCTAATGTAGGTATTATTTTATAGATCTATGACAATATTTTGTTTTATTTACATATTCTTTTTCTTTTGTTTTTAGTCAAACAGAACCTGCCCCATCTGCAGAGGAGATGCTTCAGAATATTTCACGAATAGCGAATAGAATGTTTTGCCTTTTTCACACAAATTACCACTTCTATATATTTTCAAGACAAAATAAATATCACCAATTGCAACGCTTTAAGAGTAATTTTCGTGTCAGGTGCCATTAGTTGCCAGTAATCCTAGAGTAAATGTCTTTTATTTTCTATTAATAATATTAATATTACTTACTTAGTGTTGTTAATTTTTAAGAATGCAGCAATATTTAGGTGTCTCTCGTAATTAGATTTATTTCTTTCGTTTATTAGTTAAAATTAGTTTAAAATAATGTTTAGTATATTCCGTCCTACGTTGTTCGAGATGATTTTTTGCATATGGTTCTTCGTAAGTTCAAACTTTTATAAAATCCGTAAAATATTTTCGAAACACAATTCAGATTTCTGCTTATAATCTGAGCCTTCTAAAAATTGCAATTTTCAGAAGGCTCAGATTATAAGCAGAAATCTGAATTGTGTTTCGAAACTATTTTACGGATTTTATAATTAGATGTCGCTATCGCGTCCGTATTGAAGCCATTTTATTGTTGCTTCTTAAAAGACAGAAAATATTGATTTTTCACGTTGAGAACACCTATGAATAACTGTTCTGATGAGACCTATTAGGTCGAAATACGTATCAACAGATACATAGAAGTTGTTTGCGTGAAATCAAATATTTGCTGTCTTTTTCATTTCAAACTTTTATGTTATAATATTTTAAAACTTTAAAGCAGAATTTTTCGAAATAGTTTATCGGTGGCGTCTCGCTGTTACAGTTTTTATTGGAAAAATACATTATATGAGAAAATGAAAACGATCAGAAACGACGAAAAGTTTACTAGTTTTTTATTTTCCTCAATATATAATTTCCCATAAAAGAATTTCAAAACGTTGAGAATGTTTTTGCACAATCTCCTATTCTCGACTAATATTCAACAGCTTGAAAAATAGAGCACTGAACAAATCTAATACAAAATATATGCTCATCGGTAAAAATACTTAAGAAAATAGACAGTATCTATGTAAATTGAACTTATTGTAAGAAATAAAATATAAAAAACAAACAACTTATCTTTAAAAGTAAGATATAGTATTTGTGCGCCACAATACTGCTAGGTTTGCCGAATGACATACAATTAAAGTTGTTTTCATACATATAACACTGGTTTACGAATCTTGTCGGACTGTCGGTTTAATTGGAAGCGAATGAGCGAGATATTTTGATCGAAACATGGGGGAAGGGCTGAAAAAAAAGATATGCAAGATTATGGTGAGACCTACGTTGGTGTACGGTGGTGAAGTGAGGCCTGTAAAGAAGATTCAGGAAAAGAAAATGGACTGGCTTAGGAACGTCTTTAGGGAAAGAGCGGGGGTGACAGCAGTCTCAAAAAAATTCAAGAAGAATTCAAGAAACTGCAATGATTTGGTCATGTTAGACGTAGAAATAAAAACGTATGTGGGACGAAGGATATAGCTATTGGAATTTGATGGAAGGAGAGGTAGAGGAAAAGCGAAGAGAAGATGTAAGGATTGTGCGGCAGAAGACTTGAGAGAGAAAGGTTTAGGTGAAGAAGACGCGATGGACTACTGAGCAGAGACGAAGAGTAAGGATCAGCGACCCCTGAAAGGGGAAAAGCTGTACAAATCTTGTCGGAAACCTCCCGAAAGTGTATTATTTTAAAGCACAATCGAATTTTTTTCTTCAAATAGATATCATTTAATTTTAGAGTTATTGTTCGAAAATATTTCACAAACATTTTTGTCATGATTTTAATTCCACCAAATAAATCCTCAAGAAATAAAGTCTCTTGCGTTGGGTAATTCATTGTTGCATTTCATTTGGTCTTTTAGGTATTAGGCGAGCATAAATAAACTTTGTAGTGGGGATTTAATCAAAATAAAACTTATTAAAGATGTACTGCATAAAATTATACAGTATTTGAAATATTTTATGTCTTTTGAATTGTTTGCACGCCGCGCCGTAAATACACATTTCTATTGGACTGAAAACTTTAATAGTTATTAAGGCAGCATAACGACAGAACTTATATTTCAGTTACAATGTATAACTATGTTGAACATACGAATTTGCACATGCCTTGAATCATTTTGAGATTTCCAAAAATGATAAAAAACACATTTTGTTTTTAATCTTTTGTGCAATGTAATCTGTGGAGAGTTTTTAATATATTTTTTTTTTCAACTATTTTGTAAACAATACATTTTAGATGTTTTAAATATTTAAATCTAAATATCTATGACTGCTATAATTTTTAGTGGTTTGCCAAAAATTACAAATTTTAGGTGCAGGTTATTTTTATTTAAATACAATAAACATTTTTTTATTAAAAGATAAGTAGTATATTAGCATATTTCTACACATGTTTCCATATTTTCTCCTGCCTTTTTGTTAAACCTTAACTCTTTCGACCTCACTTTTTTTTTACGACAAAAACTATCATTAATGTGGTTCGGTGGATTAAAAAATTGTGGATTTGAATTGGGAGAGAAACTATCAACGATATGCAGATGTCACTGGAAAATGCTCCAATAACGGACTTGCATAATTATATCAAAGACAAAGTTACTTATGGTTAATAAACAATGCGTTTGCCTTATGCAACTAATTGTCAAGAATGAGCCGATTATAAAAGTTAATCATCTTAAATATCTAGGATGTTGGATAAACGAGACATTAAATCCTGATAGGGAAATTAAATCTCATACAGAAATTGCAAGAGGAGCATTTTTAAAACTTAGACCTGTACTGTACAATTCTCAGCTGAACTTACAACTAAGAATCATTTTCCTAAAATGTTATGCATATTCTGTGTTATAAGGATGTGAAACCTGGATCTTAACGGTTAATATGATGAACAAATTATAAGCCTGCGAGATCTGGTCATATCTTAGGTTTAACGCATCTCAAAGGTAGAAGTCTTAAACAAATTAGGTCAAGACGACGATGATAAAAAAGAAAAAACTTAAATATGTGGGGCATATAATGAGAGGTAGCAGATACTGAATACTGCAGAAAAAGAGGAATTGGTAGGAAGAAATATTGATGGCTCCAAAACCTTCGTTAATGTCCTTTTACGTCCTTTACGTTTTAAAATAGTTAAGGTATCTGTGTGGCAATTACTCAATAACAACGCTTCTTCAGTGTCCGTTTCAACTCTTTCCCTCAAAGTACCTTCAAGCTTTTGGCAAATAAAAGGCAGATATCGAGTACAGTTTTTATTAAATCTTGTCGCCTAAGTACTTTCGCTCCTAGAACATCGTCAGGGGCATTTTATTAAAATTAGGCTATCCAACAACTTGGTCAATGTCATAAACATTAACTAATACATTTACACAACACGAGACAAATGACAAACAGTTTAAAAATTATTATAAATTTGAAGAAGCTCATAGTGGTAGCGAGATCTTGAAATGCCATTCGCCGTTTCATACTCGTGAGCTGAGATTAGTGGCCCATTTAGTGTTCTGTAATCATTTTGTGTATTTGGAGGGCTTATTGCATTTCAACATCTTGTAGTCCACTTATATTTGTCTGTATTCCAATTTGTTTCAGAAAATCTTAAGGTGAAAATTCAAATTCTTTCAGACCCTCGTTTTATTTTTAATAACCAACCTTCAGCTAACTTTGGAAAAGCTGCTTTAGCTGCTGCTGGCCATATCTTGTCTCTGAAGCTTGAACGAGAGAGGCATAACTAGGTGCATCTTGGGTAAGAAATTGCAAAACGATTGCTGCCTGTCCTCGAACCGACACTACCAAGGGAGGTGCCATTTCATTATCAGTCCAGCCATTTGCTCTAGCTGCAGCTTCGAATTGAAAACGATAACTTTCCTATACTGTTTGAACATCGAATGTGGGTGGTTTTATAATTCTGTAGAATCGTTGCCAGGAGGATATCAATCAAACACAATCTTCACTATCTATCATCTATATTAATCTATCATCAATATCAATCTAAAATCAGCATCAATTCAACTGTATCACACAGTTTGGTTGAGATCACACAAATACTTGAAACTGAATGGACAAGAACTTAAACAATAGGTTAAACAGTTAACGAATGATGGTTTGCCTATGACTTAGGTACATGGCCGTATGATTTAAAGTACTACCTACTATGTTTAATTTTAATGTAAAACTGGGCTTTGTTCACCTAGTAGAATTTTTTGGATTTCGGATGGAAAGTTTTGTCCCTAGGGGGTCGAAAAGGTTAATATTCAATTTTTTTTATATTCAATCTAAATTCGTCCATTAATCTCCCATTTGATATTCGTATCGATCGACATTTTTTAATTTACATTGAACTAGATTAAAGTATTTTCTTATGAAATAAATGCTTGTTCATCAGTGCCCCCTATTATCTTAGTAATATATTAGATTTGAAGCTTTTATTTTTCTTAACTTCCCATAACAAAACATTTGCATTATTAAGTTGAAAGAGGATTACAAATTTTTCCAATTTTAAAACTGATAATCGTACAATCGTGCATTTTTCACAAGGCAGCTTTCTGTACAAAAAATTTAACGGTTTTACAATTGTTTATAAAGTATTGATACAAATGATCTCAAAACTAAAAAATCATGCAGATTACATCAACACAAACAACACTAGGACGTTTGAACTACTTACTTTTAGTTATATTGTTTTTATTAGGTAAAAATTACGAGACACCTGGTGTGAACTTAGTTGTACTCGTGAAAAAAAAGAGAAGTAAAAACCCAATAATAATGTAACAAAAAAGCTCAGTGCACATTTTTTAAACCTTTTTCTTTCGATGTTATCTCGAACATAAAGTCGAGGTGCCACCATTTAGAATTTGATAGAAACTGTAAAAGGGGAATTTTCCGATCACCATTTTAAACTTAGACGTGGATGTAGGGTATGACTATTTTTATGTGTGCTTGGTTTTTGGAAGGTTTTGTGGAATGTCTCAGATGACGTACTTTTTGGAAATATATAATTTTTAACATTTGCATATGCATAGTTCTGAAAAAAAGTGATTGCAAGATTTGAAGATAATATGTTGGATGCAAGTGAAGAAGTAAAAATATAATACACTTGATTACATTTATGTTATATGTGATAACTTATGCTGTATTTATGATGGGCTTAAAACAAAGAGAAGACAATGGGAAAAGAAGAGGATGAATACAGGCCACTAATTGAATCTTAGAATAAGAAATACATTTACCAAAAAGTAA